GTTATTACAGCTGGTGAAGCTGTTTCAATAGTTTCTATTATTTCATAACTAAAGTTTCTGGTTTCATTTTTAAGGGTGTATTTTTTACTCAATTCTTATCATTCTTCTATCTGCTATTTTAATTAAATGTTTTGCTTCTTCCAATAATAAACAATAACCTGTCACATCTCCTTGTGTTTTTTCAATATGAATATTTATGTTGACTCCTGTTTTGAAAAGATCTTCTTGGTGAGCTGATAGATCAAAACAGAAGATTGGATGATTAAGTGCAAAATCTACATATTCAAACTGAGGTGGATTTCCAAATAATTCACACATGTTTTTATAGTTTCTATACAATTCATTATAATCCTTTGTGGTTGGATTAATTGTTAAAGGTTGGTTAGGATAATTATCGTTGTTTAACCTTACATGGACTTTATGGATTAAAGGATTTTGAGTTTGGTTCATTGCCACTCTAACGACATTATTGTTATTCGTTTGAGAATCTGGTAAGTTCTTGAAACCAGCCATTAAATATCTTGCTGGTTTAATAGTGTTAGTGATTGGCCACGTGGTGGATTCTCCCGTTAAAGTCATGCTACCTACCGTGTTACGATGAAGAAAAGCTATTTCAATATCTTTAGTTAATGAGTTGAATATTCTCGTTTCTACTTCAATTGATGGTGTTATTACGGGTATGAAAAGTTGGAGATTCGTTATTTCTAATTTTGCATCTGAACCATTCTCTCCAAAGAATATCTTATCATCGTTGATTTCTCTTTGTAGATGAATTTTATATGGTAACCCTATGGAAACTTTTCTATGTTCCAACAGACCGAATAAAGGATATAATTTCCAATTTACGTAATTACCCCACCTATTATTCTCAACAATATTATTGTACTGAAGAACTCGTTTTTTCGAATCCACTCTTTTTATAGTGTTTCGAGCAACAACTCTCACTCTAGCTAAATCAGCATCAATTGCAAGATTTTTTACCGGTTCTTTTAAAACACTTCCATCCCCAACATCGGGTATCCAACCTGAGACTGATTCAAAAACTTTAGGATATAAAACTGTTTTCAACATTGTGTCGAATTTTCCAGGGTGTTTAATTGTTTCTATCGGATTTGAACCAGCTTCCAAAACCATCTCGCTAAATAAAGATGGAAAGAAATTGTTTTCTAACGTTGTATTAGTTTGTGATATTGATTCTGAGTTCCATCTTTAATTTTGAAATCACATCTGAAATAAGCATCGGAAAGAAGCAACCAAATTCGATAATGAATTTATTTCGAAGGTAATTCTACCACCATCATTCAATTGGGATTTAGAACCAACAGTCGGTGAGATGATAATATAATCCTCTTTTTCTTTTTAAATGAATAACGAATCGGATCGTATAATCTAAAGATTGGATCTAGTATTTTATTTGCCATTTTTAAGGTGTAAACTTTGAGTAGAAAATTGTGTTTCCAAAACAAGAGTTATCTCCCTAAAAATAACATTATTTCAAAACCAGATGTTATTTTATATAAGAGTATTTTTAATATGCTTTTTTTTTTGATGGAATGTAGGAAATTGATTGAAGGCGTTTTTTGGTGTATAGGTCTTTTTAATGTAAGAATTTATGAAATGTAGGATGTTTTATGAAATGCAGGATGTTTTGCTGTAAGAATTTATGAAATGTATGGAGTTTAGGTCTTTTTGGTAGCTTATAGATTGGTCGCATTTTCCCCATGAAATGAAATGGAATGGGGAATCCTCATGCGACCAATCTGCAATGTTTGCACTAACAGACCATAATTATCATCACTGACTAAAATTCCTTCAACTCTACGTTTAACAGATTCAGAATGTTGGCCCTTTAGGTAGTTGAATTTAGTTACGTTAGAAATGTCCCCACATTCATGAATCTCGCTTTGAAAAATATCTAGTCCATTTTCGTTAGTCACCAGAAAATATTGGCAAGTTCATTTTAGGCAGTTTTACAGAAGATTGTTTTGACAGCTTACCAAAAATCGTTGGAGTTGATGTTTTGGAACTAACTTTGGACAGGAAATCAGCAATCTTATTCATGATTAATCCATGATTGTCGTACAAAATGTCACATTCTTCAAAATCCTGATCAGCCAAGTCACTGCGATCCATTTGCATGTGTAAATCTTGAATTTCCTCATCCAAACGATGTAATTGCTCCTTGGATTCCACCAGTTTGTTCTGAATTACTTTTAAAAGTTGAATACCATCCACATCTTGGCTCTCAATGATAGAACAGATGCGTTTATCTTCCCTCGTAAACAAACTTCTCAAATTTGCCTTTTTTTCTCACTGTTGATTTTAGCGAATCGGCGAGAGCTTTCTGTTCCGTAGGCATCTTTATAGAATACTTCAGCAACAAACAAAATAAAAGTTCTCAGAAAAAGTTCTTCAAATCACCCAAACTGTCCTTACTATGATCACCAAACGAAACTACAAATTACTGTCTATCATTTTGGCCATCACAGTCTACTGCACACCCATCAACCACTCTTTCGGAAGTATAACGATGAAATCTTAATAGAACTGCGACATATTTGTTGAATACCGCAACTCAATTCAATCACCAACACTGTAAAACGTTCATCACGGCACCAATTTTGTGGGAATATGTGCTCCACAAAGGTATGAGTAAACTTCACGTTGTGTTTTTTAAACTTTTAATATAACAGCATACATCATACAGTATTTACAACTGAGACAGGTTAAGGGAATGTGTCCGATGGTAAGATGGCGGTGTGTGATGTATTCAAATAAGAACACCGTGAGTTCTTTACTATAAGTTTAATACTTGTTCACAGTAGGTAAGGTGGCTGCCAAGTGTCTGCACGTGCGGTAGAAAAGATATATATATAGCATACAATAATCTCGATACCAAAGCACTTTGAAGCATAATCAATAGTCTCGGTTTTCCATGTCAATATATTACATACCTCCCCCT